CCTCCACCAGAAAAGTTACACAATGGACCTTTAAAGGAGATATGGAACGGAAGTAGGTTAGTTGGTCAGCAGAGGGGGGGCAGTAGTCGACACCCAGCCCCCACTACAAGATAAAACTGATGTGTAGATTAAAATAATGCCCGGTTAGTCGATACAAATATCTTTGAACTGGATGCACTGCAAAAACTAAAATCTAGCCAAGTTAAGAACACTTGAATTAAGAATTGAATTAAGTTTTATCATGATTTGAGTGAAATTCACTTGACAAGAAAAATTATCTATCCATGGAACAAGACTTTTTGTACTGAAAATGTGAAAATACATCTTTTTACACTTAAGATAAGAAAAACAACAACTCTTGGCGAAAGAATAATGTTGCTTGTATTAAGAAAAATACACTTATTCTGCTCGTAGATCATTTTACTTATACATATTTAGAAGTTGAATCTACTCAAATAAAAGTAAAATGTTCTTAATTTGAGTCATAGATATTGTGTTTCACAGTGTGGAACAAGTAAGACAATTCTGAAAGCAATAGAACAGAAAATATATAAATGCATGCTATCTAAAAACATTGAACACCCAATTGGAGAAAAGCTGTGTAAAAAAAGTCCACCCCTTTTTTGAAAAATCATTTTGATTGGTTGACTAATTTCTACGTAACCCTCTTTGCCTAAAAAAAAAAGAAATAACAGCGGCCTTTTGAACAATGACAAACTACCGGCCATTGCATGAATGAATTTGATTGAACATTTCGAACTATTGCGTATCTATTTTGTTATACTCAACAGATTCTGAATTTGCATTTCAGGCCTTTTCTATAGTTGTGTACATACATTTGCATATTTGTCAAGAATTCGAATTTTAAATGTGCATTGTGTAACTTTTCTGCCAAATTGTTTACTCCATGGAGATGTTACTGTTTTGTCTGGAGTGTTTCGCAGTATGGGATTAAACATTTCTACAGTGGCGGAATTAGCAATTTGGGGGCAATATTTATTGTCTGTTTTTCCCCACTGTTCATGAGACACGCACATACTTATTTGAATTTAGGTGGACTGGAAACTTGTCTTACAAGTTATGTAGCCTACTAGATAACCAGAGCTGAAAGTAGTTGTATATTTTTGCTAGTACTCTCATTTAATGTGATACTGAGAGAAAATCTAATTGGTCTGAGGCCTTGGCCGTTAGTGATTCTGAGGGAAATTGGTTGGGGGCCCCACCAGGTTTGGGGGCCCTAGGGGGCTGCCTACTGTTGCCTAATGGTAGCGCCGCCTCTGCATTTCTATCTTCCAAACCAGACCAAGTTATAGGCAAGGTCTGTGGAGAGGCAACCCTGCTCATATTCAGAATACCTGTTTTCTACGTATTTTGTCGTGCTGTGGAACATTCCTGGTAGACCAATGACATATCCATAGAAACAAGCAGTTGACAGACTCCTCAACCAAAAAGTTACATCAAGCACCTTTAATCTTCAGGCAGTTTTAGCTGTTGCGTCGATGCCTGGGGCTAGTGAAGACAGAAAACTGCGAAACTAGGCCCAGTGCTAACCTCTGTATCCAAATGCCATTTCACTGCTACTGAAACACAATGGATTTTTCCCTCCTAAAATATACACTGAACAATTTACCATAATCAGCACATCGTTAGGAAGCTAACTTTGTCGCGCGGCTCTTTAGGGGGTAAAATAAATGGTAACGCATAAAGAAATATTGCGCATTGTCTTCTTGCTAAACTGCTTCATTACTGTATTTTTATTGCTCTATTGCTATTGTCTGCGCTAGTGTGGGGCCATTTGTAAATGCCAGGTTCTCTTGCTAATCTCTATTGTTGCATTTTGGTGCCAGCGTTGCCACCCCCGTTCCTAGGTAACGGTATCTTCGCCATATTAGAGGACACGCAAATATATCCGACATTGCTACTCGCTATGGCGCCCTCGAAAGCAAAGTAGTTCATTAATCATTCGTCTTTAATAGATTATGCAAATTCGCCGGCATAAAAATCAACAAGATCAATAACTGTATGAATTTTAATTGGGAGCCGAAAAACATTGCAAGAATGAATTTAATCTCATTGCTCCCTTCGATATGAGAGCATAATTTATTGATAATTGGATGCCAGCCTAAGTGAAGGAGATAATTTGGTGCTTTTTTTCGAACTTGGCGCACAATCCTATTTACAGGGTTGGCTTAATGGCAGAAAAGTCCTATTATGCAGTGCCACAATGAAATTTCTTATGAGTTATTCTACGTCAAATGAGATCATAAAAGTTTAGTGGGGAAATTATATCAGGCTAATTTATGATTCTTGGACACGTTTAGAATGATGGCAAGTGTGTTTTAATCCAAGAGATGTCTTTTTGGATCTTCAGTCATTGGCGTGAGCTTGTTTGGTGTTTATGAGACATGGTAACAGTATCATGCCATCGAATTTGAAATACCAGTTTATGAATCGGTCTTAAAAGTGGTAACCCAAGATCTGTTTAAAAACGGCAAGGTTTTTTTTAATCAGTTTTGAGGTTAACATATTTTTACTTTTCTCCCAATTTTTATTTAAAAAAAAAAAAAGTATTTATTTTCTTTTTTGTAATGAAAAACACTAAACAAAACTGGTCCAAATTTGTAGAAAATCTAAAATCAATATATAAAAACATTGTGCAATCTACTGGGGAAAAGCTGTCTTAAATAGATCCCACCCCTTTTATTGATAAATGGTTTTGATTGGTTGACTAATATATTGAGAAAATTAGACACAAAAAAACAAAACAAAAAAAACCAAAAAACTACTAGTTGCATCACTAACTCCTCTGTAAAAGGACTACAACATTAATATTCTCCATGGCAACAACAAATACTCCAGTAAACACACTCTTAACAACAGCACAAAAGTTTGTTGTCATAATCTCGCTCTGTGCACCTTCCTGTATCCGTGGCCCCTGCTGTATCACTTGAGGAGGGTGGGCCCCTTGCTTGGCCCCCAGGTGGCTGTGTGGAGGCCACCTGCTATGACTGTGCTCCCTGGACCGAGACCTGCTTTCATGGGAGGAGCCCGGGCCCGCTCAAAGACAAAAACACACCTTTCTTCTCCGGAGGCCCAACTTTCTGGGGCAAATCTACCTCCCACATACCCCGCGGTTAAAAGAGCCCCATTCTTTTCCCATAGCGCTAAACTATAGGGATCATTTGACCACTGCACTTTTTCAATCACTCTCTCCTCCTCCTCCTACTCCCCTCTCTCTCTCACACACACATAGTGGACTCATTGACTTTGATAGCCCGCGCATAATTATGGGAGTTTTTATTAAAAGCCTGGCATATTATTATTCCGTGACCACCAGTAAACCTAACCTCCCCTGGGAAAAAGAAGACCGCTACAATGAAGCAATATTTCAATTAACAAGACAGCCATCAAGCCTGACAGCGTACAAAAAGGCAACTACAACCCGATATGTGATACAGACACTTCGCGATACCCAATACTCCGCACCTGCTATTACCAATTGGAACGCCATTTCATAAGTTGGAGCGAAAAGTCGAATTTCACTCACTTCGCTTTTTTTTCCCTCCCCAGCTAAAGGCAGCCAGCCAGACTCGGCGCTATTGCAGCCTGTGTCAATCAGTGGACTATCATAGGCTTTGATGACAACGCGGTGTCATGGCGAGAACAGCAGCTGTCGCTTACGAGAAGTGCTCCCAGTCAATCTGTTAGCGGGCCAATTCGGACTAACACAATAGCCAGTTAGGAGCTGTGCCGCGTGTGAAGGGCCTGTACCATTTAATGGGCTCTCATGATATATGGCCTCTCCCCAGGTCCCCTCAGAAATAAACACAAAGTGACTTGGAAGAGGTTTTCATTTGGTCGGACGATGTTTTGATGTGTCTGTTGGGAATTCTAAAAAATTCCTCGGAAAATGTGAAAGCTGAATGTAGGGTACTAAAAAGTCTCTAAGTGAAGTACATCATCATAACTCGTTTTGAAAGAGTTTTGAAAAATAAAATGGAATAAAACTAAAATAAATAGTAGACGAGAAATTTTCAATGTACATCACCCAATAAGATCCAACTCTTTTGTATGCAAACATGTGACTGACAAAAGCCTGACAGGCAAATCTGTAACAGTTCTAGTAATAGATTTTAAGCAATCCTACAATCCTATTTGTTGTACTTTTTCACATTCATAACTGTCAATTCGTACTGCCAACACATCCAAAACAGATATATAAAATGTATTCAGTGCCATATTGAAGTTGCAGGTTTTTTGTTAGACATGAATAAAGATAGCACATCCTATACAACCCAATATTACATAGGGAGCACTGAGTTGCATTGTAAAGATGCTTGTGGAATAATAATGTAACTATAAAATGACAATATAGTTTATTTTAGGATTGGGTAAAGTCATAAATAATAAATAATTTCGTAGGTTTCAGTTTCAGTACAACTGTCAGGACTTTCCTTTAGTAGATGGCATTATGAGGACTTTTCATCACTCAGAAGATATTTGTTTTGAATGGTTAATTACTATGGCAATGGTGTAAATTTTGTATCACACCAAAACATCATGGATAGCAGTGGAATTGACTTCACTAATAAGAATCTCATAACATAACGTAGTAACTTTCTTATAACAATACCATATAATTCAGTCAACTCGACGAAAGTTAATATTTCTTTTGCTATAGATCCTACCTGGACGATTAAGGGATTACACAGATAATAATACTATATAGTAATACAAAAATAGCAGCTCGTAACTCATATCTGAGAGTATGACACCACCCTATCCAACAACTTCAAAACAACCAAAACCATCGTAGTAAGTGCATGATCTACGTCCAACACAACCACACTTTTTTACCATCTAAAGCATGATAAAAACCAGTCTTTGGAAGTGTGCCACATGAGTGCAGGCCGGGCCCATGTAGCGGCCTCTCCACTCGGCTGCAGATGTCCATGCCCTGCTGTGCTCCAGTATGTGTGCGCGTGTGTGAGGGCTTGTACCTGTCACCACCGAGTAGCTCTGGGACACGCTGGAGGCCAGTTCGGAGCTGGCGCTGGTGGGGAGGCTGGGTTTCACGTCCTCCAGCCCGGCGTTCAGAGAGGGCAGGGAGTATTCGTTGGCCTGTTACAAGACAACAGTCAGAAATGTGTCAGTAGGGTACAAAAAAAAGCCAAGACCAAAGGTTGCACTTAAGGAATATTTTAGGTTTCTTTGACCAGATTTTCACCAATGTAGCACGCATTACTCCCTCTACTGATAAAGACCGGAAATGTTTAACGCACAGTCTAACTTTTGACCTTAATGCTGTATTTTTGCTGCTTATTTAGAATTTATCATTACCATTTATATGTTTTTCCTTTGTTATTATAATTTATTGTGATGTGTGACCTGCTGTGTCCAAATAATTTCCTTGTGGATCAATAAAGTTTCTCTAAGTGTCTGAGGAAAGTGGAAATTGGCACTGAAAGTACATTAGCCGTTTCAATTGTCAGGAAGGTCTAAAAAAAAAGGTCTAAAAAAGCTACTAGATACGACTTGTTTGCTGCAGCAACCCCAAACAAAAAAAAGATCGTCAAAATCCAAAAGCAATCCACGTTATTTATGCAATGTCCACAAAAAAAAAAAAAAAATTCTAAATGTATTAACTACATAAAAAGATGGGTGCTTCAGTCTGCAACATGTAATTACTTTTTCCTCCCAGCACAATAATGATATTCCACCATCTCCCAACAGTTTCATTCATTGTCTGGTGCTGGACTTTCTCCGACTATAGGGATAAAGCACATCTATAGCCCGGCCCCTGGTGACTCTCGGAAAGCTGTTTATGATCCATTCAGTCTACAAAGTACTTCCTGCTGAATATTCCGGGCCGTTGTCTGGGCTTCCTGTGCTTTAGCCGGACCTGTGATGTATGCATGCATTAGGGTTTGTGTGGCGCAGAAAAGGGGGTAAAGAAAAGCGGTGAGGATGAGAGCGGGATTGGGAGCGCCGTGAAAAGGACGGGGTGTCAGCTGGCTCTTTGTGCTCCACTGCAGTCATCCCTGTGACCAGTCAAGGGAGGAGACATTCAGGGCTTTGTTACAGGAGAGACATGTGGTGCTGTGGGTTTTTTTCAGCAGCAAAGAACAACCTCCAAATCAACCTTTGTGCAAGCCAGGAGAGATCCATAAATGTAGTTCTATGTATAATGGTTGGTATAGTGTAATGTGGCTGGGGGAGATTCCGTCATGGTGGGTTGTATGGTTTAAGGCGGAAATAAGGGTGAACGATTGGATATCTTTGTTTTGTTTATCCATTTTAAAAGGTCCATCAGCATTTTAGCTTTACTATATTGTCTTACTCTTAAATGTGATGTTCTTAAATGTATAAAGGATTACATTTACACAGTTCTATCTTGTACCAACTTGTAACTATAACAACAAAAAATATTGAGTCATTTTCTTTCATTTGTTTTTTTCAATGTATTATTACCTTGGCCTAAATAGCTAATAGTTCATATCTGCCCAGAGAAATATAATTTTATTATGAGAAAATATTTCTGTTTGATTTGCATTTATATAAGGATTTTGTAGCTGTAGAACATGCACTACTCTGCAATAAACATGCTTGGATTCTGGCCTAAACTCTTAAGACTTACAAGGCAGTATAATCTATTCTATTTATGTGATGCCAACCTCTAAAGATTGCAGATACAGCTTCAAATCGCCCCTACAGCAATATGAAGATTTGCTTAATTTCACTAATGGTACAGCAGCCTATTGGATTTAGGGTTCAATAACTTGCGAAAGAACAAGCGAAAAAGAGAAATTGATATATTTTCCAAACTGGATATACACTTACTTACATTTTTGATCATTTATTTGCAAGCTAAAAAAACCCGCAGTCCATGTGTGTACTTCCTGATCTGGGACTTCATTGTATTGTACTCGAAACTTGAAGAGGGGTCAAGACAAGGCTGTCCTTTGTGCCCTGCTCTTTCATCTCCGGTCGGCGCAGTGTTAGCAGATGTGATAAATCCTGTTTGGTAATGGGATGGGACTTCTTGACCCCTCTAAGCGCGCTTGTGTCGCCCGCTGTTTGTGCCAGGGTGCATCTGTTTGTCTCAATGGGCCAATGGGTTGTCCCACTGGGGGCTGGCTGCTGACCCCGGCCTTGTCTGCCTCTATCCCAGATAAACTCTAATTGTCTGCTTACAACTGTTCCCTGGCACTAGGCTGGATGTTCCTCTCTATTCCGCTGGGTGATTTTTTGTCATGCAGATGGGCTTGTGGGCAGGGCCAGGTTCGGCGCGGGACAGGGATGGAGCGAGCTGGGGCGGGTAGGAGGGGGCAGGAGGGGGGCAGAAGGGGGCGAGTGGCGCAGCACACTGGGGCCTGAATGACCTGACCACATGGCTGCCAGAAGTGTGGGAGGGATGAGGCCTATTCAGCTTGGCCTCTTCAAAATGGCTTTTTAATGCCTTGATGCAGACACCAGACAAGCCCCTAATAGCCTAATATCCCACCTTTTCACCAGTTTAAGAAAAGGAGGGGGGGTGCTGGAAACAGCGAGAGGGAAGGCGGTGCGCGGGGCAAAGCGGCCTGATTAATATTACATTAAATTAAAACTGATTTTTCTGGACCATTCCGACGCCATTTTTCTCTCCCTCCCCCCACCTTCGTCTTGCCTTTTTAATACCTTCTCCTGCACTCTTTGTGATTGCAAGTCATTTCCAATTCGTTTTGGTATTGATCTTGCCGTAGAAATCACTTTGGTAATTAGCTGCATTAGGGGCTGTATAGCAGGCTGAGGGGCTGTCCCCCTGATTTATCGCCGCTGTAATTCGCCGCGATCGCGCAGAGATGAAAATGAACTCAATTAGGCCACAGCTAAGGCTCCACCGGCACCCACATAGAGTTTCAATGGAAGAATTAATAGTCTCTTGTTGTTTAACAGTCTAATGAATGTAAATAAAGGTTATCCGCTGTAGGAGCTTATAGGCCTTGAGCTGGAGCATGGGACCAGGCAGATGAACTTGTGTTTATCTGTTTCTCATAAGTTACTATCACACATCAATCATTGAAAGTGTTGTCTTCTATCAAGACTCCAATGCTGATGGATGTGAGGACATTCATTCTGCTTTGCGGTTGGTCTAATTTACCTCATTGTGTCTCTCTATGTCCTCTTCCCGCTTAACACTAGAAAGGGGTCATTTGAACCTCCTTTCAGTTAGTTAGTTGGTTACGTTTATTGCCTATTGGATGCTTTCATTAAAATAACGTGTAATGCAAATTGGGTGATTTTACTACACTTAAACAGTAAAATAAAATAAGTGTCCACTGAAGAAGCCTGGTTTGGATAGCAGTTTGTTAGGTCACATTGGCTTTTATATTATGCAAGTTAAATTAGGTAAACTTAAAACACAACCTAGCCACTCTTGATTCCTTTCATTGTGCAGCACTTAACAGAAATGAACTGTTTTTGGAAACTAAAAAGGAAAATTTAAAGCAAATTTTATTCATGACTATATTAGACTTGGATCGGTCTTGATTTAGTCTTTGCTAAGTTTTTAATTTGACCCAGTTTGACAAGTAAATGAAAGCATGTGCATTTTTTTGTTTTCATTTAGCTCAACTTATTGTGCCAAAAAGTATATTAAAGGTCCCTAATAATATTGCTATCACAATAGAAATATCGTTATCAAATATCATAATTTTCTCTTATCGTGCAGCCCTAGTTTTTGTTTACCCCATATTAGTTCTGGAAATGGGTGGAAAAGACTGCCATCCCTGCACCAACTTGGCACTGTATAAGAGCTGCATGATAAGAAGTTTGTGTCTCACCTGCTCGGGCTTGATGTGCTCTGAGGTGGGGAAGACATCGGGGTAAGATGGCCGCTCAAAGACCCGGTCTAGGGCCTCCAGCTGCTGTTGAGTGAAGGCGTCCGCTCTCAGGTGCTTCCTTAGACTCTCCACACTGCCCTGCGAATCACTGCCTGGACCTGAGCCATCCGAGCCATCTACGGGAGCAGGCAACGAAGGAGACAAGGAAGGAGGGAGGGGGAGCGGAGGAGAGGTGGAAGAGGTGAACATTTTAGGGCATGGGTCCAGACTGTTGACAATGAAATATGCTGTTTTCCAAATGTGAGGATTTAAAGGGGACTGCTACTTCTGTGGACTGTGTACTTTTTCTGGAGGACGGTCTGTCACTTGGTTGTCTTCAGTGTTCAACAGTATGACATTATATGGATTAATCTTGCATTCGTTCAGTTATGGGCCTTTGCATTAATATTAAATAATACAACTCTGAAAAATCCATTCTTACTGTGAGTGGGTTTGCCTCTTCACAGATCTGACCTGTAACTTGGCATAGTGGCATCACCTGCTTGCTTGTACTCATAGAAATAGATAACTTAAAGCAGTTCGCAGACCCTCCACCAGAAAAGTTAACACTAAAGCTCTAGTTTCTACTTTCAGGAGGCAGTCAGCTACTAATACAATAAATTACATAGGGACAGGACAGAAACTGGAATTGAAAGATGAATAGAATAGAAGAAAAAGGTTAGTATAGCAAAAAGTGTTTATGGCACATGTTTTATTGCTTCGAACGAGAACTAAAAATGTTCAGCTAACAGAATGGTGTCTAAATATTCAACTCTGTAAGGCTGCGTTTATATGATGACGGTCTGAACAGAAGATGCAAAAGTGGCGTCGCGTCTTCACGTTTTATTCCGTGTTTAGACAAGCGTTTTCGGGAGGAAATCTGCCTGCATATGGTGACGCAAAAGTGTGGAATTCGATTGGATTCGATATGCATGCCAGGCAGCTATGTGGTGGCATTAGGTGGTGATGTATGTGACATAAACGTGTACATGATGTGAGCAGATCTGACCGGAGTTTTGCATCTTGGACAGTATAGATGGAAGCTCTACGGCAGAGCATATTCAACTTTTCCACTTTGAAGGGTGGTTTCAGAATTTTGCATTTTTAAGCCCCAAAAACGCTGTCACCATCTAAACGAAATGCACTTACAGTAAAATATTTTGTCATTTTTTCCCGCAAGTTTTCTCGTGTAAACAGGCCCTCGGTCTCAAAGAACATTGGGGGCTACAGTAGCACACTCTGTCTTAACCAACACTATTTGATACCCGAGAATAGCACCATGAATAGGAAATTGCGATAGATGAACTACCTAAAATGCATGCAGGTAAGCAGTCATTTGAATAAAAAGAGAACATCACCCAACTCACAAAACGTGACCCAAAATACCTCCCTGCAAAACAATCTTTATCACCATACATCAATTATCCCTGTATTTAATTAGTAGTCGACTTCCATTAAAAGCCTTACTCGATAGCAACCGCCATTTTTTAGTCGCCGCAAAACACAGACTCGATTCACTGGAACCGAGCCGCTTCTCAGTCTTTTGATCTCGAGTGTCTCCTGCCAGCACTCCCATGATGCACCTCTCCTCACGGCCCGCCATCAGCCCCCTCATCATGTGATAGGCCTATGGTAATTGATGGATTACCTCGGCTGCAAATATATACTTGTAAAAGAAGAGCTGTGAGGAAAGCGGGGACTGGCGATTACGTCTAGAAGGCTCTCATTCTGCCAGCGGAGTGCCATTATTTAACTGTACCATTTCCTCCTCCGTATTACCCTCCATCCCCCCATATATTGCCTGTCTGCTGGGGAACAGAATGGAGTGTACAGGGATGCTACTAAAGGCCCGATGAGGAAGGGCCATCAGGGGCAAACGTATGCATTTCCTCACTCGCTCACACTCTATATAAACAAATGAGCCTGTGTCCGCCGTGTGCAGCTGATCCTTGACCCTATCAACTCCAGCCTACCTGCAAAGCGCCACTGCTGCTCTGGCTCTGCTTGCTAGAATAGAAATCTGTGGTAGCTTAAGGTACAATCTTTTTTAGGTGTTTTCAATAAGAGCTTTATGGAATTTCTTTGGAGATACATACAAAAAGGGAGTCAGGACACAAAGAGACTATCTAAAAGACATCCTTCCTTGTACGGCGGATTGAATCACTTGGAGTTAAAGTCCTTAAAAAACTGAAAAACGTTGTAGTAGTTCATTTTAAACTGTTTGCAGTGGGCCAAACTTATTCCTCACTTTTTATAAGCGTTCCTATCGTTGTGTTTATTCACTGCAATGAGTTTATTAGCACATTTCAGCGTTTTGCGGTCATGCCAATGCTAAAAACAACTAGCTTAATAACAGTGCACCAGTGCTACTTCCTGATTCTCTGATGATAAATGCTTTGTTAGTTGCAGACTGCTCAGTCTTTTAAGAGCTGCTTTTACAATATTATACTACTGTTAGTACTGGGGCAATAACACCACATGCACTTTCGGTAGAGAAATAGTATATAAGATGATATATCCTGAAACTTTTGTAATCAATTATCAAAATTGAAATTTGGTATTCAACAATGTACGTCATTTAGCAAAGGAAGCATAGGTCTACATTTTATTACTACTATTTACAGTATAATACTACAAACCGTAACATATTTACAGTACAATTTATGTCTTTATTCATAGTACTAAAGTTATCCTCTCTTCAGCATTACTCATACTGTCCTACAAAAGCCCCTCGGAAAACCCTGGGCCTCCTGAAAATGTCCCTTACCCCTCCTAGACCCCACCTCCAGCCACCGCCGCCCCCTCCTTCCCCGTTCTCTTGCTCCCGTTAACCGCGCCGACAGCGGATGAGGGCTTTAGCTCGTAGCCGTACAAATCTGTCATTCTAAATTTGCAGCAGATTATGTTCTCTCCTGGGCGAGCCGGCGGTGATATATGATATGCAAGGCCGCTATTGATTGCCCGATCCGGCGGCAGAGGAGGGAGGCGAAATGAACTTGGAATGAACATCATGCCTCAACTCATTGTGCGTATAATACTCTACTTAATCCCACATTTTTCTGTGCTATGGAATTCAATTGATCAATCATGTTCCACTGATGGTACCATTTCAGGGGCGTTATTGCCATTCTGCTAGGCTGCTTGACCTTTTTTCAATGGCTGAAGCCAGAGGATGAACCTGACTTGCACCGCGAAATAGATCCATGGAGAGAATGGAATAGAGGAGTGCAATTGGGTCTGGGGGTGGTTAAGGAGAAGGGGGGTAGGTGTCAGTGCTAAAATGTATTGACTTTAGCTACGTGGAACATTTACGGCGGAATGAGTTTTTTCTTACTTCTCGCACTGTTTTTGTCACATGTTTTATTTCCAGATAACGGAACATTTTAACAAAGATTTTTTTCTGTCTCCTGCACTAGGATTGGGGGTTGTGCTTGCCTGGCACAGCAGTGTTGATGTATGGAAGTCAATTGTTGTCTGTGGTATGGAACAAAACAGAGTTAATTATGAGGTATCAGCTGATCTGAGAACACGCTCGATCAATACAATGGGTTTGTCATTCACTGTGGAGGGGTCTCCATTTTTTGCATTGCCAGCAATAATAGTAGATTAAAATAATTACCGATGTTCAATAAAAATATGTACAACTATATCACATTATATTGATATATTAATTAGTATGTTAATTCAACAAAGTAAAAGTATGTACATGCATTCATATTACACTGAGATATTGCGACCACCCTGTATATGCTCCAATATGTCTGCCTAATGCTGGTTTTGATTCTTGTAGTAAGCAGAAAAAATATCACCCATATCAAACAAAAACAAAAATGTAACGATAAAAACGTAAATTTAAAAAGAAGAAAAACTGATATTTTAAGTTATTGGTCTTCTTCAATTATGGTTTACTAATAGCAAAAATAGCTGCATGAATGCTTTTATTATTTGAACAATATGACTTCATAAAAGAATTTCAGTTAAAACTTTGATTGAATTCCAACTATTTTCCACTTTAAAGTTTCTTCATTTCTTATTATAAAAACCACCAATTTTGCTAACAGAGCACAAATTCTCCCTGTACTTTTCAACAACGTCAACACAATGACCTATAAAATCTATATCGAGATTTATGCTCTACTGACTCAGCCTTTGGACGGAAATAACAGTAAATCACTTATTTTTGAAAATTCACCATTAGGACGTTCATGTTTGACATATATCACGCGGCGGGCTGTAATAAATCAGCCCTCTCCTTTTTGACAGTGAGGGTGTCAGTGGAGTGTGAAGCCTGGCTGTCAGATACATTTGTGTGTATATGTATTTGTGTATATTGGAAATGTGTGTGGATTTCAGGCCCTTTGCGTGGTGGGGCGCACGGCAGGTAGTCCCGCTATCACCATACAACTTTGTATCTGGGTTTTAACACCAAAGTGTGAAGAGATAAAAACAACAAGGCTATCCTTATCCTTGGTGTTGGGAACAAATGAGGTTTATATAGGGAAGTGGGAGACATACCAGGCTGTATATACTATATATTGGGGTCTTTGAGCTCATTATAGCACCTATAGTTTTTGTACAGTATTGTTTACGTGTGGGTTTAAAGGGGATGCGTGTTTGGGCTACTTTTCTAGTTTTGAATCAGTATTTTTGTTGTTATTTTTACAACATAATAGAACAAAATTAACATACAGTTGTAGTGCAGTCTATACATAGTTCTTTGGCATCTGAAATAATGTTAAGATGTGTTTATTTATTTGATAGGACAATTGTACAATAGGCTAAATAGACCCTCTCTTAGATCAGAGGTAATACACAAATCTGTTAAACTGGTTATTTAAGTAAGTAAATGAGTTTTATTTGATCAAAGAAGGTTGATACACTAGAATGTCTCACATGTAAAGCTAATTATAATGGTAGTTTTCTCACTGGCTGTATTATAATGATACAAGATGTCCATATGCATAGGGAGTGTCTTCATATGCATGATCTGAACCCTCTACATCAGTCAAATCAGTTTCAATATTGCACCATTTAACCCTTGTTCCATCTGAAAATGATCACTTAGTCCCTCTCTGTCCCCCCTCCTCTCCTCGTCCTCCCCCCCGTCCCCTCCTCTCCATACGCACACAGTGACTAC